TGTGTGTGTGTGTGTGTGTGTGTGTGTGTGTGTGTGTGTGTGTGTGTGTGTGTGTGGGTGAGTGTGCAAATAGAGTTTTTGTGGAAAATAAATGTTCTCTCGTCTCTCACAAGCCAACTCGGTCAGATCGTGGCTGGCTGGTGATGCCCTTTGGGAAGAACCCCTGGTGGGTGTATTTGGCTAGCTTCGTTCCTGCCCTTCTTGTGACCATTCTCATCTTCATGGACCAGCAGATCAGTGCCGTCATTGTTAATCGCAAGGAGAACAAACTTAAGGTATTTCATACACCCACCATTGAAGGATTACATATATTTGAAAAACATTAAATTCCATTTAGACATGTTTTTGAAAACAGCAACATTATAATACCATGCTTAAAGTTGTTTTCTTGTTACAAAATTGTTTTTTCATGGTTCTCTGGCAGAAAGGTTGTGGCTACCACCTGGATCTGTTCTGGGTAGGGATCCTTATGGCCATCTGTTCTTTCTTGGGTCTTCCATGGTACGTGGCTGCCACTGTGATCTCCATTGCCCACATGGACTCTCTGAAGATGGAGAGTGAGTCCAGCGCTCCAGGAGAGCAGCCACAGTTCCTTGGGGTCAGGTTGGTTCACAGTGATTCAGAATTAAGATGGCAGACATTAAATGTACCATGGGAGAAATAACCATTTAATTATAAACCTGGACACAGCGACAGAAGGCGGGCCGGCTGGGCCAGGCCCGTCCATTCCAGTTTCCGCCCCCCTTTCCACCCACTCAAAACAGATTACAATACCATGTAAATAAGTTGAACCTATGCAATGTACTGACTCATAGGCGTTGCAACCATTGTATGTGAAAGGGACGTGTCCCCCCACATTTAAAAAACCTTCATTTGGACCTCCCCCACTTTTACCGTTAAACAGTAGTTCAGTCGGCGCTGTTTCTCTTTCTTCGTGAACAAATCCATTCCACTTGATAAATAGGAGAATACTCCTACCACTAAAGATCCACTCCAGGTTTTCCTGGTTACCTAATGCCCCAGCAGCCTGCAGTGTTTCTCTTCTGCGTCTCCTCCTGCCTCGGCAGAGATCGCTCACAGGTGGAAGAGGTGGAGACATCTCTGTGTTGATCGCTCACCTGTTTACCAAGCTTTAGTGCGGGCAGTTGTTGACCGGTGGGGTTTGATCATAAACATATATACATGTTAGGAGGATGTTTGAGAGAAGTGCAGCACTACGTCTGTAGCATCTTAACTAAAAAAAAAAAAAAAATTGTATGCCTTTTTATAACTGTTTATTGTTGTCACTGTTGTCCATTGTTGTCATCATTCTTTGTTGAAATCAGGTCTCTCTTGTAAATGAGTCCTCGAGGCTCAATGGGATTTACCTGTTTAAATAAAGGTTGAATGAAAAGAATAATAAGGACTTCAGCTTCCTCAACAAGTACAGTCTGCTCTGTCCCTTCTTGTAGACGCTTCACTGTTGCAGCTCCAGTCCAGTCTATTGTCCAGGTGGACCCCAAAGTATTTATACTTCTTCACCACCTCCACTTCTTCTCCCATGATGGAAATAGGGTTGGATCTGTCCCTGATTTTCCTGAAATCTACAATCATCTCCTTTGTTTTGTTCACATTCAAGATGAGATGATTGTTTCCACACCATGCCACAAAGCGGTCCACCAGTTCCCTGTACTCAGCTTCTTGTCCATCTCTGATACACCCGACCACTGCAGAGTCATCTGAATATTTCTGCAGATGACAGGAGTCTGTTTTGTACTGGAAATCTGAGGTGTACAGAGTGAAAAGAAATGGTGAGAGTACAGGCCCCTGTGGTGCTCCTGAGCTACTGACCACCTGGTCAGACACACAACCCTTCAGTCTCACAAACTGTGGTCTGTTTGTCAGGTAGTCTTTGATCCAGGTGATGGTTGAGGCCTCCACCTGAGTCTTCTGGAGTTTCTGACAAAGCAGATCAGGCTGGATTGTGTTAAATGCACTGGAGAAATCAAAGAACATGACTCTCACAGTGCTGTCTGCCTTTTCTAGATGACAGTGAGTTTGCTGAAGCAGGTGTATGATGGCATCTTCAACTCCAAGTCCACGCTGATAAGCAAACTGTAGTGGGTCCTGATATGTGCCTGTTTGTTTAGTCAGGTGGGCCAACAGAAGTCTCTCTAGGACCTTCATGATGTGGGATGTCAGGGCAACAGGTCTATAGTCATTGAGGACTGATGGGTGAGGTTTTTTTGGTACTGGAACAAGACAGGAGGTTTTCCACAACACTGGAACCTTCTCCTGGGTCATTTTGAAAGACTTCCTGCCACTAACAATGATTTTCCTTTGACAAAACTGGGTGTTTGTGGCTCCCAGAACCCCACCTCTCATGGGGGCAGGTGTTTGCAACACAGGGAAAATGCCCGCAGGTAATCAGATGTGCTATGATTTTAGGTCTTGGTTTAAAATTCACTACCATAACTCCATCTACTCTGTCATCATGTGACCAGAAGTCTAACCTTAATGACCAATGAGATACTGTCATTGACCCAGCTGCCAAGATACACATGCATTAATGAGGCTTCCTGTTTATAGTAAATGGACTGCACTTATAGACGGATTATTTGTTCATCAACATGGCGGATGCGCGCGCAGCCGTAGTGCAGAAAGAACCGGTGTCTTGTGTGAAATTCTGTTCCCCTTCTTGGAGAGGGTGCACAGAGTTGTCATCTTCACAGCTCTTCTGACAGATTTCTTGGTATTAAAAACTATAAAAACACTCGATGTCTTGGTGGCTGACTCATATTTGTCAGGCTAAAGTGAACATGACAAGTTTTATTAAAAAATACATTTTTCTCTTGGCGATTAAAAAAAAATTACACACACAAAAAAAAACCCCACGAAAATGTAAGAAAACCAACACAATACCAGGTTTATTTGTTGCTTATTTTGAAGTTTTATATTTATTTATTTATTACCAGGAGCTGTCGATTAAAATGAAAGTTACAACCGTGACAGATTATGTGACTCGTTTTACCGAGAAATCTTTGAGAAGCAGTGAAAACGGTCAGACCTGACACTGTGCGCGTTATTTTTATTTTGTTTTTATTTGATACATTTTATTACATGATGTTGAAAAGGTGACTAGTTGCTTCTCGTTGCATCTCAGTAAGAACCAGGAGTACTCTTATGAAGTTCAGCTTCACAGAGTCCTGTGGACCCAGCAGGACTCACTGGTGCAGCCAGAGATGATCACATGATGAACACAGTCCTCCACATACATGAACAGTTATTCATACAAATTAATATTGTAAAAGAAAGACGGTAAAAACAATCCACTTTGAAACATATCATTTATTGTAACTTTTCCTGTTAACATTCAGTTTTAACTTTTCCCTTCAAATCACTGTGTGCACGTTTAAAAAAAGAAATGGTTATTTTGTTGTTACTTTTTAATGACATTACTTATGTACAAACAAGAAATAAGAAGTTTTTGATGTATCCTTAACTCTTGAATACTTCAACAAGATATTTACAGTTTATTTTCTCGAGACTATACAGTCCCAAATGTTTAACGCTGCACACACAGTTACAACGTCCTCTACTAGATTAGAGGTTTCAAAGTCTGACACATAACAGGGAGACAACTTCTCAAAATGTTGGAAATGTCACATTCAGTAACATTAAATCTGAACATATTATCCTCACTGGTGAGCCCTAAACACAGTTTTCATGAGGATGGCCAACATGGTCCATTGTTTGGACATCTGCTGGGGGTTTCATCCCGTCGTCTTTGTCTCTTGTAGCTGAGACGCAGAAGAGAACAATCATTAGGTGCAGCAGGAAAGCATCACTTTGTTCAACACAGGTTTATTACAGCCTCAGTTCAAGTCAGTATTCTTTTATTTACTGCTCCAATTTTCCATCACTGTCTTTGCTGGACTTTGTAGAGTAGGAGAAGATGGACGGGACAAAGTCAGGACTGTCGATGTCTTCAGAGGCCACTCCTGAACAAATAAAGTTTATTCCAGTGACTGACGTTAATGGAAACAGCACACGGTTGGCCAGCGCTAACTGGCTTAGCATGTGTTAGCATACAAGTTTAAACAGTAACAAGTTTCTGGGCGTCATCATTGACGAAAAACTGACATGGAAACCTCACATAAATAATTTAAGAACAAAAATATCTAATTCTATTGCAGTACTGTACAAAGTAAGGGAGTTAATGATAAAGTACTGTTTATGTTGTATAATACAATAATTGTCTTACACTTGATTTACTGTAGTGAAGTCTGGGCTAAAGCATGTAAAACAATTACAAATCCTATTTTTATTTTTACAGAAAAGAGCTGTAAGAATCATCCCTAGAAAAGATTATAGATATCCATCAAATACATTGTTTTATCAGCTGAAGATATTAAAATTATGAGACTTGGTTGATTATAATATTTTACTGTTTATGTATAAGGCTCACAAAAACATACTACCTTCAAATATCCAAGTAAATTTTGTTAAAAGGGACAGTGGTTATTATCTCAAGGGGATAGAGATGTTTCTGAAGCGCTGGTTTCGTACCAGTTTGAAGGAGTGGTCTAGTATAATTCAGGGAACAGGACTGGTCTGAAGGATGATGTTAAAACTGCCACATCTATGTACATATCTAAGAAAATGTTAAAAGTTAGTTTTCTGAAGGAATATGGTAAAGTATAATGTGTATCTATACAAATTGTTGTTTGAATTGATGTTGCTTTTATTTAGCTTTGTTTTTTTGTAAATTACTTTTGTTTTGAATATATTCTGGGAATAAAGGGGCAGATATCATAAGATTTATTCTTTTTCTGCTGCCTTTCATTTTATTTTTTGATTGTATATATATTTTTGTTTTCTATTGTATAGAGTTATTTTGTTTTTAATGAAATGAATAAATTTCTAAATAAAAATAAATAAATAATAATAAACAAATGATTATCAGCATCACTGAACTAAGATATCTTAGCTTGTAACTAGGTACACTCGTATCCGAGTGATCAATTGTTCATATTTTTGTATACAGGCCTCAATAAGCAGCGATGCTTGTTAGCTAGGCAGACTTACCTGAGATGAAGTGCTCGCTGCACATTGTTGCATTTTGAATCATCTGCTCGTTCCAATCGCTTCTTCTGATGCTGGCAACCAAAGACGTCTCCTGTTATTCTTGCAAGGCTGCGAGTTGATGGAATTCTGTAAAACTTGCACGTTTTATTGTTTTTATCAAAACGGTTGGTGCAACCTACAGCACAACAAGACACGATCGCTGTTTCTTCCTGCGACCGACATGCGCAGTATACCCGGAAGTGACCCGGAAGTGACCCGGACGTGACGTTGACTGATAATCCGTTTATATATCACCTTTCTATCTGATCAAGACACTCAAAGCTCTTTACAACAATCTGTGCCTCATTTACCCATTCATACAGCTCTATACTAGATCTCTACAAGCTATTTGAACAACCTCGTGCACAGCACAGACTTTGTTCATTCGTCAATAATGGAAAAAACATGGAGGATTTCTTATGATGCAGCTTTCAAATTAAAACCTATCAATCTTGCTGTCATAGAAGGAAACAGAGCTGCTGCACGTAAGCTCTCTG